CGCGCTGCCGCCGCACCCGCCCGTCATCCCCACGCCCGCCCAGCCCGTCAAGGTGAGAGCTGGGGGCGGCTGCGTTCATTATTCGTTAATTATTCATTAATTATTAATTACTCATTAATTATTATCGTCATCGCCGTGGTTATCGTTATCGCGGTTGTTTTTCCGGTCGTTACGGCTTCATGAGCCACGGTTCCCCCTCCTAACGGGATCGGGGTTGATTTGATTTGTTATTAGTCATTAATTATTGTTATTATTGTTGTGATTACTGTTAATTGCTGTTAAGGCTTCATTAGCCGTGATTAGCTGGCCTAACGAGATTAGGGTTTATTGCTGTTGGTATTAATCACTGCTCATTATTGCAGTTACTTTTAATATTGTTATTATTATGGCTTCATTGGCCGTGATTAATTAGCCTAATTGGGGGTTAGGGTTTCATGCTTATTATAATCACTGTTATTATTATTAACAACTTTTGATGATGGTGATGATGATGATGATGATGATGACTAGTGTTTAATTAGCTGTGATTAATTGGGCTGGCTGGGGATTGGGGTTTAGAGTAGGAAATGCAGAAATGGAAACCCCAAGAGTGACCCCAAAACAGAAACCCCAATGAGTGACCCCAAAACAGAAACCCCAATGATTGACCCCAAAACAGAAACCCAGGACAGACCCCAAAATAGAAACCCCAATGAGTGACCCCAAAATAGAAACCCCAATGAGTGACCCCAGAGTAAAAAACCCAATGAGTGACCCCAAAATAGAAACCCCAATGAGTGACCCCAAAACAGAAACCCCAATGAGTGACCCCAAAACAGAAACCCCAATGAGTGACCCCAAAATAGAAACCCCAAGCGCGACCCCAGAGTAAAAACCCCACAAGTGACCCCAGAGCAGAACCCCAAGCGCGACCCCAGAGCAGAAACCCCACAAGTGACCCCAGATCAGAACCCCAAGCGCGACCCCACGCCCGCTGTCCGTTCCCAGACAAAGAAGGGGGTGAAGAGGAAAGCAGACACCACCACGCCCACCGCCATGGACCCCATCCACGACTCCTCCTCGCTGCCCGCCGAGCCCAAGGCCACCAAGCTGGGCCCGCGCCGCGAGAGCGGCCGGCCCGTCAAGCCCCCCAAGAAGGAGATCCCGGACTCGCAGCAGCACCCGGCCGAGAGCCGCGGCAGCAAGGCCTCGGAGCAGCTCAAGTACTGCGGCGGCATCATCAAGGAGATGTTCGCCAAGAAGCACGCCGCCTACGCCTGGCCCTTCTACAAACCCGTGGACGTGGAGGCGCTGGGGCTGCACGACTACTGCGACATCATCAAGCACCCCATGGACCTCAGCACCATCAAGGTGGGCGGGGAGCGGGGACTGGGGGGGATTTGGGGAGGAATCGGGG